GGTTGTTGGTGGTGGGGGTGAGGGGGGGGGTGGGTGATCTTGTCCCAGGGGGGGGGGGGGGTAGTAGTACTTTGAAGCTGTCAAATGATTCACAAGACAAACCTTGTTGTGAACCTCAATTGGAAATTTACCTGTTTGATAATGTATGGAAATTAAATTGGATTTTATTTAAATAATCATATTCATATGATCACATTTGGTTGTACAACACAAATAAATGGGCAACATAGCAGAGCAATGTGAACGCTGCCACATTACGACAAGGATGTTAATGGTTTACCTCCTGGCCTTGGTTCTGCTCTCCATGTAAGCATGGGTTCTCCTGGCACTCCGGTTTTCTTCCTACAGACTAAAAAACGTTCACGTTAGCGCGTTAGGTTAGCTGGTAACTCTAAATGGTCCCTCGCTGTGAGAGTGTGAATGGCTGTTTGTTTTTATGTGTCTCTGTGATGGACTTGTGTCCTGGGTGTCCCCTGTCTCTTGCACAGTGACTGCTGGACATGGACACCAGCTCCCCATGACCTGGAAAGTAAAAGTGGGTCAAGAAAATGAACGAATGAACACAAGAACTAATTATGAATTATTAATTTGTTGTACATGTTCACTTATTAGGCTATTAGGTGTTTTAAAGCCATGTGTATTATTATATTTATACAGTAGTCCTTCGTTTATGGTGTTTAAAACCCCGTTTTAAACCCTTCCCACACTCTTGCAATATTCTAAACTACGTTTCTAAACTCTAAAGTTTAGAGTCTAAACGCTCTAAAAGAGCACATCATGTCATGATTTCAGCTCTCTGCCACCTGCCAGCGCTCTCGGCCACGCCCACTTTTCCACTTCAGAGTGGAGGTCTGACACGCTGCAAGAGGAAGCTTCTCCCACAGCTGTGGGCTGCACAAAGGTGCAGGAGGTGCTAAATAATTTAAAATAGTTTATTTTAAATAAAAATTCATGCCGATCGCGCAGCTCATCATCAATCCTCCATTGTGTGTCATGTCCAATCTTGTTTCGAAAAACCGCGATGGAGAGAGTCCACGAAAACGAACAGTGAAGTAGGGATGGACTACTATATTACATTTGAAGAGTTTCTCAGGTTTTCTTCATGCAAACTATTCCCAAGTTTTTAAGGAAATGACTTCTCTCATGGGGCAGCACGGTGGCGCAACTGGTAGAGCTGCTGCCTCTCAGCGAGCAGGTCCCTGGTTCAAATCCCGGTCCAGGGGCCTTTCTGGGTGGAGTTTGCATGTTCTCTCCGTGCATGCGTGGGTTTTCTCCGGGTACTCCAGTTTCCTCCCACAGACCAAAAACATGCATGTTAGGCTGATTGGTAACTCTAAATTGTCTCTAGGTGTGAGTGAGAGAGTGAATGGTTGTTTGTCTCGTTTGTCTCTATGTGTCTCTGTGATGGACTTGCGACCTGTCCAGGGTGTACCCCGCCCCTCGCACAGTGATTGCTGGACATGGGCACCAGCGATCCCCGTGACCCAAAATGGAATAAACGGGTAAAGAAAATGGATGGATGGACTTCTCTCATGGAGAAATGGGGAAACAGAGGGATGACAGTGCACTATTCACACCCCCACATTTATTCGTTGCATGTGTAGCTCTCAGCACAGCAGAGTCCATCAACATTACTTCAAAGACTGACTCAGTCTTTATGTCTACAGAAATTCTCATCAAATTTTGTTAACAGTTTAAAAATGCTGGAATTTATCCATTTTTCTGAAATTTGCTTCAACAGCTATTCTGTCTCTTCCCCAACACCCCCCCCCCCCCCTTCATTGTCCCCACAGTTTAGAAACAGCAAAGTCCACAGCCCAAGCAGCCACCATGGCATCTTCAGTCGACCTCAACATGGCTTTCACCCAGCCCACCTCCCCAGCTGCCTCGCCCGCTCCCACCCTGGCCACCGTGGGCACGCTAGCCCCAACTCACATGCTCAGCACGCCGTACGGTGCCATGCCACTCTCCGGGCTACTGGGGGTGAAATCCGTTCCCTTTCTGACTCTGTCCAGCCCGGCCCCCACCGTGGCTGCCACAGCAGCGCCGTCCCACACCAACTTGGCTGCGTACACCACCAAAATCTCCTCAGCAAACTGCATCAAAAAGCCGGAGAGACAGAAGTTTGCTCCCTACTGACGAAACGAAGCCCCGGTGTGTTTGAACGGACAGCTGCAGTGTTCTTTTAAATAATTATTTAAAAACGAACAAAAAAAGGGGTGATGTAGCCATATTCACTGGAAGAGATGCTCCTGAGTTGTTCTACGATGCACCAATGGAGACCAGTGGATGATGCCATTAAAGGTTATTTACAATTATAGATGATTTGTCAGTTTCCCATAGATCGATGGACCGCTTTCTTCATCACTGTTATTATTGATCATTTAAAAACAACATGGTAATCTCACCTGAGAGACGCATGGTGGAGAGTTTTCACATCTCAAGTCAGAAATGAGTATTTATCCTTCAATAAATTTGTAAACTCTAATCAAACTCAAATGCTCTACTGTAAGATGCTTTTATACGTCTGTTTTGCCTCTTGAAGTTTTTAAGAAAATTTGTAAATGTCCCAACAGTGTTTTTTTTTATCTTTTATTTTATGAATTTTGTTGGATTATACTTTGAATGTGAAACCCGGTTGATCTTTATTTATTAGTACTGTTTCATTTATTAAAAGTCTTTCTGTTCCCGATTTGGCCGTCGGACCTGTCTCGTAACTTTATTTCTGCTGCTCCGAAGACAATCATCAAACACTGAGCGTTCAAATCAGGGTCAAACTGAAGTGTCTGCACAAACACACACACACGTGCAACAACAGATTCAGGTTGCCGTTGCTTCCTTCTCACACAGCGTGTCATGTTTGTTGACAGAACCTGTGAGAGATGCTTTTCATCATCGTTCCCTCTCGCCCTAAACAATAACAGCAGAGTGAAACGACGCAACCCCCAGAGGAGGAGCGATCTCAGCCTCCATGATGTGCCTGTATGGGTGCAGACGGAGACGGAAACAAAGCGTAGTCTCTCTTCAGTTCCCTCGGGACAAAACCGCCGAGGTTCTAAAGCAGAGATGTTTGTGAGAAAGGGAACAAAGAAACACAGACTGAGAGTTTACAGCAAGAATACCCTTATAAACAATTGAGAAACGCTTTAGATTTGGTTTCTTGATCAGATACCAATCACTTTATTAATAAACAAAGTATTCTTGTTGGTGCAGCCTACGTTATGATGGTTTAAGTAAATTGGTGTTTTCTTTTGTTTTCATGAACTGTTTGTCACTCGACTTGTTATTCTCACCTATTAATGAACATTTGATGTGGAAAATCCAGTGGATGAAGCAAACAGATGTAGGCTAGAAATGTGTCACTTTCTTATTTAACACTTTGCAACTGCTTGTTAATGGTTTAATACCTGGGTAATTACCTCCTTATTCATGCACTATAAGCACAGTTATTGTAAAGAGTTGCCTTTTATCCAAACTCTTGTTTTTTCTTCTTGTCCTGCATCATAAATGTTATCATTCACTGACCACCATTAAACCTAGGCCACCATGTTTGTGTCTATGTGTCTCAGAGTGGAGGGTGAGTGTCTGTTAGCAAAATATCTCATGAACCTCTTGTCTAATTTTAATGAAACTCCCAGAAAGTAATCTTTGGAAGTTCATCTACAACCGAGTAATTTTTGGAGTCATTATAAATCAAGACGGCTGTGACATTTATTAACCTTAGCCAACACAAAGACGGCTATAATTTAGTCAGTTTTGCTCAGATACTGAACGTCTGATGTGCTGGAATCTGAGTTATCCTCATTACATACTCCAAGCACTAGAAGATCGTGTGAGATGTTAGTTTAAAACTTTGGCAGTAGGAGATACGTTTACCTTCAAGAACTTTCCACGGCTTTATAAAAGCAGTCTTTTGTAAAGTAATATTTTTGAGCTTAACTCTGATTTGTTTTCTTCTGCTGTATGAATATGCCACATTATTTAAGCCTGTGACGTTTGACTGCATTAATTAATACAGAATTAATCTAATAAAGAAAAAAAGATTTAAAAAAATACTGTATATAAAATTATCAGAAGTGGGAGTTCATCAAGGATCGGCTCTGAGCCCCCTCTTGTTTGCTCTGGAAATGAAACGACTAACAGATGAGGTCAGGCAGGAAACCTCGTGGACTATGATGTTTGCAGATGACATTGTGATCTGTGGTGAGAACAGGGAACAGGTGGAAGAGAATTTTGGAGAGGTGGAGGTATGTACTTGAAAGAAGAGGAATGAAAGTCAGCCGTTGTAAGACAGAGTACATGTGTGTGAATGAGAGGGAGGCCGGTGGAACAGTGAGGCTACAAGGAGCAGAGTTCACAAAGGTGCAGGACTTCAAGTACTTGGGGTCCACTGTCCAGGAAAATGGGGTGTGGTAAAGAGGTGAAGAAGAGAATCCAGGCAGGATGGAGTGGATGGAGAAAAGTTTCAGGAGTGATTTGTGACAAAAGGGTGTCAACAAAGATCACAGGAAAAGTTTACAAGGCAGTGGTGAGACCAGCTATGTTGTATGATCTGGGGACAGAGACATGGACAAAAAGACAGGAGAAATAAGTGGCAGAAATGAAGATGTTGAGGTTCTCCTTAGCGACAAAGATGGAAAAGATTAAGAATGAGATCATCAAAGGTACAGTACAAGTTGAACAAATGGGAGATAAAGTTAGAGAGGCCAGACTGAGATGGTTTGGACATGTCCAGAGGAGGGACAGTGGGTATACTGGTGGAAGGATGTTAGAAATGCAGCTGCCAGGAAACAGACAAATAGGAGATACTGTATATGGATGCAGTTAGAGAGGACATGGAGGTAGTTGGAGTGAGGACAGAGGATGCAGAGGACAGAGATGGAGGAGGATGACTCACTGTGGAGACCCCTGAAGAGGGAAAAGTCAGAAGAAGAATAAAAATAAGAAGAAGACATTTTTGAAAACAAGACAACAAATCAGAAAACCATTCACAAAGTAGAAAAAAGACAACTATTTTTTTTCCAAAACATGACATTAAATAAAACCCACTTTAGGATTTAGTTGTTTAAGCAATGCTGCACTTTGATTTCTTGATGTTTTTTCTAAAATAAATTTTAGTTTTTTTTTTAATACATCATTAATTACAAACATAACTATTTTCATTTTCATTTATCCTTTATTTATCCAGGTAGTCTCATTGAGCCACGAGAATTCATTTTCAAAAGAGACCTGTTTAGGGAGCAGATGGTGGGGGTTAATGGCCTTGCTCAGGGGCCCAAAGTGGGGTGAATGAGGGTGGAGGCAGGTGTGGGTGTTTTCACCTTTTCCACCCACATTTTGATGTTGACGGTACTGGGAGTTGAATCTGCGACTTTCCGATCACAGGCCCATCTTCTAACCTCTGCGCCACCACTCTCCCACAAACTACAACTAAACAGTGAAGGCCACATTTTAACAGAACAAATCATAAAACAAAAGGTTTTAATAAAATAGGAAAGTGGAGTGATACTTACTTTAGTGAAATCAAGGACATCAGTTTTCTTTCGTTTTCGTCTCAAGTATTATGTCATGCTCCTATCTTACAAACACATGTTTGGTTTTTAATCCTTATTGAGATGTTACTCTGACTTCCATTCATTCTAACTGGGATACTACTAACAGTTACAGGATATACTTCCTAACCTTACCTTAATTCATACTTTAGCCTTAAACTTGTTACCATGGTTTTCAAAAATTTTAGAAAAATTATTTGTGACCAGATTAGATCAATTTATTGCTAAACAAAATATTCTAAGTAGCAGTCAGTATGGGTTTAGAGCAAAACACTCTACATCAATGGTTCTCATGGAATTGATTGAACAAATAACTGTTGTTGATCTAAAACAATATTGTGTTAGTATTTTTGTTGATTTAAAGAAAAAATTCAATACTACTGACCACAATATTCTCTTTGAAAAAATTTATAAATATGACATTAGAGGACTAGCACTACAGTGGATATCTAGCTATTTGAAAGATAGGAAACAGTTTGTACAAATTATTGATGTAAGATCTGACCTCAGTAATATCACATGTGAAGTTCCTCAAGGTTCTGTACTTGGACAAAAGTTATTTATTTTATATGTGAATGACTTGGTAACTATGACAGGACTCCTTAAATGTGTTCTATTTGCAGATGATACCACATTATTTTGTTTGGGTAAAGATATAGAGGAGACAGAATTTATGAAAGCACGAACTTGGTTTAAACTTAATAAATTATCATTAAACTTAGATAAAACTAACTATATGATATTCAAGCATAAAAAGAGAACTGTCAAGGTTCCATTTAAAGTCGAGGGTGTTGAGATTTGTAGATTTAGGTGAAGTTTTTGGGCGTTATTGTTGATGAAAAACTGACATGGAAACATCACATAAATGATGTAAGAATAAAAATAGCTAAATATATTGCAGTACTATACAAAGTACGGGACTTATTGAATGATAAAGTTCTGTATATGTTGTACAATGCAATAATTGTTCCACACTTAATTTATTGTATTGATGTTTGCGGGAAAGCGTGCAAAACAATTACAAATCCTATTTTTGTTTTACAGAAAAGAGCTGTAAGAATTATTACCAGGAAGCATTACTGTCACCCATCAAGTTCAATATTTTATCAACTGAAGTTATTGACGTTCCATGATTTGGTAGGTTATAGTATTTTATCAGTTATGTATAGGGCTCATAATAACACATTACCTTTAAATATCCAGTTAAATTTTGTTAAAAGAGAGAGTTGTTATAATCTTAAGAGGATAGAGATATTTGTGAAACCAAAATTTAGAACTAGTTTGAAGGGACCCCATACTTCAATTCAAAGAATTAGATTATGGAATAATCTGGAGAGTGATATGAAAAATGCCAGATCAACATGTATGTTTAAGAGAATGATCAAAGTTGATTTGTAAAAAAAAAATGAAATAGCCTAATGTGTATTTTTATGAATTAATGCTCGAGAAGGAGTTATTTATTTTGTTTTTGTTATTTGAAGATTATTATTGTTTGAATTGATTTTTGGGTCAAAAAGGACAGATTTTTTTTTCTTCTTTCTGCTGCCTTTCATTTTATTTGTGATTGTATTTCTTATTGTATATAGAATTGTTTTGTTTTGTTTAAAAAAATTAATAAACTTTATAATAATAATAATAATAATAATAATAATAATAATAATAATAATAATAATAAAAACATTAACACACAAATGATGCTCTACCATATAAAGATTTGGTCCCTATAGGGACTACAGGTCCTCAGAAGGCTGATGCTTACACCAGAAAAGGTCCTAAAAGGTATGAAAAACAA